CCCCACGAATGGGAGGTTGGAGACTGGCTGATAGTTGTTCAAAATGGCTGGATCCAGGGAAGGTTTCTTGAGGAGAGGTCTCACCGCTATTAAGCCTGGTTCACCTAGTCTACATGTGTATGTTTGGTTTTTCTTGCCTAAGTGTAAGACTTTTGGGAACATTTCTTAATACAGCTTTGTTGAAGCCCAGGACTACCCTTGAATATAACTTGAGTCTTTTAGTTAATGCTGAATGCATGATCAAGCCTGCAACTAGTACAGTCAAGTGGAGTGGAATAAAAGTGATTTTAAAGAACACATATTGGTTATTTCTTTGTTTTGGAGTCCCAATTATTCTTAACACTTATTCTGCACTCAGTTCTCTCACTTAGTGAAGTGCGTCAGGGCATGAAGCAATAATGGCATTGCTTCTTAATTAATTTGTTGCAGAACCTACCACCGATTGGGGGTTAAGAGGTCTGACTTAAAGTCACCCAATTTTCTTTTGTGCTTATGTGAGGACTAGAACCTGGGTCTCCTCGCTTGCAGTCCAGGCAGGCATTTAGCCACTACTACACTATGCCAGCCCAGACCCAAGATGTGTGTTGATGATCTCAAAGTATGTTTTATGAGTAGTAAAGGAGAAGGACCTGTGAGGTCCTTGGTGTTCTTTGAGCTTGATGGTTTTCTTGCAGATGTTTCATTACTAAACTAGGTAATATTATCAGCACTGATGCTGTTGCCTAGTTTGATAATGAAATGTCTTCAAGAAAATCAAGCTTAAAGAGCACCAAATATCCTCTTCCATGAGAAAAGGACCTATTTCTCTAGGGCTCCACTGATAGAACATCCTCCCCACAGAAATATAGCTAGCATGAACTTTATTGTGTACTCTGGAGCTATGGGAACGCTTTTTCATTTACTCAAGCCTTTTAACATATTGATCCACCATTATCCAGTATACTGCTCTGTCATTTCATTTGTTTTTGCTAACACAGTGTTCTGTTTTTGTTGAGTACATTACTCTTATAGGTTTGGGTGAAGAGTAGTCTGAAAATTATCCCGCAAATGTTTTCTAAAAGTTAAAACATAGAAAGAGGAAAAGCTTAGCAAATGCCCCCAAGGAAATGATGTCAACCTATGGGAAGGTTTTAAGTGAATTGTAAGCCACTTTAGCAGAATTTCCTTTGAAGGATGGGGTTATGTTTATTTTAAATAAAGTAAGCACATTTGATAGTTAGAGACCAAGAAATTCCTCCTCTATCTACTTTTTCCAACCTTGAAGGAATGAACAGTCTATTTCTAATTGGGAATTTTTATGTATTTAAAAAACAAATAGTTGCCCCAAAGTGACTACATTTTCCTGTTCACCCAAGAGATCAGAGGCACTGATCTCTTACCAACAGAACTGGTAAGGTGGCAGTTGTCAATATTACACTATTGTGCCATTTGGCGAATGCAATTCTTAATATGATATGCTATTAAAAGTTTCCCCCGGCTAGATATCTTTCCCAAAAAGCAGGTGTGTCATGTTACATAAATATTTGAAGTCTATTAGAAGTAAACAGGTGAAAATGAGTTGAGAACAGTTTGATGATAGGAAGCAAGCAGGGTACCTGGAGGATTTGTTTCCACCAATTATCCTTCGGTTGCGGTGCTGAGTCAAACGAAGACCACACAGGCCAATATTGGAACCTGCCAAGAAAGCGAAAATGATTAGGTTCATTTTTTTTGCCACACTGCTGTTGCCAGAATCATACTTTGGATACGATTGTAGGCCATTGGTTAGTTGTTGTCCTCAGATGGTGGGAAAATGGCACCACCATAGTAGTTTGTTCCCTTATACTGGTCTTCCTTAACTCTTTATTTTCCTTAGCACCATTACAGTGCTAAGAGATTAAAAGTGGAAATAGCAACATTACCATATTCTTGAAAGGAAGAAAATCTTGACAAAAGGATCCCACAAAGGAAGAGCAGAAAAAAAGAAACAGATAATGCATAGGCAATGTCCAGTTTTCAACCAAGAATTATCACATTAAGCTAAAAACAATCTTTCCTCTCTAATAAATGCATTTTCAGTATATATGTATAAATGTCTATGTAAATATCTCTACTTGCCAGATGCCACATTTCAAATAAGGCATGCAAAATCTTTTTCTCTCACTCTTTATCTATAACAAATAAGGTATTGCATTTGCAATACATTCTGGAAGGGGTTTAACTTCTCCAGAACTCCACATAAGCATGTCTGTTTGAAGAGTAGCAATAGCCATAGCACTTAGACTTATATACCACTTTACAGTGCTTTACAGCCCCCTCTAAGCAGTTTACAGTGATCCAAGGATAGACGTTTTTCTTCCAGTAGAAAGAAATGTGCGCACTCACGTTTGCGAACTAGTAGGGAAAGTAAGTGAATACCACCTCTGGTTATATATCTTGGTTATTGTTATTGATCCTAGTACTCTTTCCTCACAATGGTCTAGTACTTGGTTCACCGAGGAGCTCCGGGAGAAGAAGCGCCGGAGGAGACGCCTAGAGCACCTGTGGAGGTCCGATAAGTCCGAATCGAACCGAGCACTTTTGACAACATGCACCAAGGAATATATCAGGGCATTGAGGACAGCAAAAAGAACATATATTGCCACCTTGGTTGCGTCCGCTGAGTCCCGCCCAGCCGCCCTGTTTAGGATAACCCGCTCCCTCCTAAATAGGAGGGATGCGGGCGAACCCCTGCAGGGTAAGGCTGAGGAATATGTCCAGTTCTTGGCGGACAAAGTTGCTCGGTTTCGGTCGGACTTGGACTCCATCTCTGCAGATTCAGCCGAGACACAGGGGGAGAGCTTGGCAAGGTGGCAATAT